GTAGCAGCTTCACCGTCAACTCGAGTTCGAATCCCTCCTTCGACTGTTTTTTAGTTCCTAAGTTTTACTCCTCTATATACATTTTAAACCTCTAAGATTAGCTTCCCACACCGAAAACTGAGGAGAAGGTACTCATGCTATCAACCTATAAAGCCACTCGTCTCCGTTCTAACCATCGTAGCATAGGACAAACAGCCCATATGCAAGGTTGATGATTAAAAGCCTTAGATTTCAAGCTGATCTCGAGCGGCTCGCGATCTTTGTGCGAAGCTGTCGAGCCGAACTCGAGTCATAAAATTTAGGCTCGATCGAACTCGAGCCGAGCTCGAGCACGGAAAAAAAATTCGAGCTCGAGTTCGAGCATATGTGAGTTCGGGCTCGGCTCGGCTCGATTACACCCCTATAATTTCGCCGGACGGCCGGAGCAATATACTTTTCCCTGTTCCACCCAATTTCTATATTTTTGCTATTTTTATACTCGCAATACATATACATGAAAGATTTTGAATGGATCGATAAATATACATAGCAATACATATATATGTGAGGTTGAATGAATCGATATATATTAATTTTAAAACGTGCACTACTTAAATATTAATTTAAAAGTTATGAGGATAGTTTTGTCAATTAAAATAAAAACACTTCCATTATTAACACTTCGTTTTTAGCTCTCCCAAACAAGGTAAGATTTTGTTTAACATTTACATTTCCCTTCCCGGCTCCTCACAACACTTACTAACACTTCCATTACTAACACCTCCCAACGTTCCATCCAAACAGGCCGCTAGGGATACTTTGGAGCTTTTGCTTTTAAAAAAGGCATATTTTTTAAGTGGTTTTGAAAAAAGTGAGTAATACTATGAGCTTTTCAGTAACAGTCAACTTTTAGTGATTAAAAAGATCTTTAAAGAAAAAAGTGGTAGTTGTTTGGTAAAAAGCTGATTGTTTGATTTAGTTCTTTTTGGTATACAAGTTGTTACTCTGTTAGAACTAATTAATACTAAAAGTCACGGACTTTTCTCAGATGCCACTCCTCGTAGAATTTCAATAAAGATCTTTTATTTTTTGAAAAGCTCTTAAAAATTGTCATACCAAACATATAACTAGAAACTTTTAGAGACTTTTTAAATAGTTCAAAAGCTAGAAGGCAAAGACTTATGATTGCCAAACATGCACTAAAAGTTGATAGTGTTTGGGGATAAAATGAATTTGAAAACAAAAAGTTGACAGTGTTTGGTAAAATATGTGTTTTTTGTGTAATAGAAAAAGTAAAAGGCAGTTCTCGGCCAAAAGGCGAGTGCTTTTTAAGTAGAAGTTGTCACTTGAAAACACTAATTTTAGCTTTTTTAACTCTAAATCCGAGAAACGCTTTTTTAAAACCTTTGCAAACAAATCCTTAGGGGGCAAGAGTTAACAGAGGATCTTGTTCTTTGAAGTGAGCACGAGTTAAAACTTAAAAGGTTTTGCTATTTTCTCTTTTGTTATATTTGTATGATTCTCTTTTTGGTCTGGCATACTTTTGACAAAGATTATGTCCGCTTTAGGTGAGCTAATATATTGTTCTTCTTCTAGCAATGTTTACGGACTGTATCTTTTTTGTCAGTGTAATCGATCGAGCGATTCATTATTCATGGTTAGCAAGACAGGGTCACCCTAATTGTTTTGAAGCTTCAATTACTAGTTCTCCTTCTGAACCACCACTTCACTGGGAAAAAACAAGATAACGCTCAACTAGATCTCCTTTTTGGTGGTTGGTCAAACTGATGATTCAGATAATTTCTGCTCAATTGAGTTTCCTTTGTTGGTTACTGATTAAATCAATTCTTCCTTTCTGGTGGCCGGTAAAGCCAAATCTTTGCACTTTTTTATTTTCTCTCTAGAGTAGCAACAAGAGCAGTAAGGTTGTTAAACTAGATTACATTATTGCGTAATTAGCGATCTGGAAGAACTCATTAGATCTTTTATGTTCTATGTCTCAGTCCATTGTAGCCTTAGACTATTCATTCTCATGTATCTTTGCTATCTTTTAATAATAATTTAGTTGTTTGATTTTTTAAAAAATAAAGCCCTCCAAAGCTTCGCCAGCAACACAACTTTTTCAACTATCCTAAAACAATTATCCATACTCACCCATCCATCGGAATTTTTGGGAATACACTTCTTTCAAACTCATATTATTAAATTGTCCTTTTTTCTTATTTTTAAATAATAGAAACATGTAAAATTACAGGATAACATAATGTCGTGCAAGGGTTTTCTAAAATAATGTCAGGTAAGTTTTTTTGAACCAATAAGGTCACGTAAGTTAAAAAATAGAGTTGAATACTACTTTTGAACCCTTCACTCAAACATTAGGAACCAGTCCCTTTCTCCATTCGAACTGCACTCTTCGCACGGCACTCCTCCCTTGAACGGTACTTTTCCTTCGAATGACACTCTTCATTCAAATGACACTCTTCCTTGAACCCCTTTCTACATTCTAACGACACTGCTCCTTCAACCTTCGCTGAAACCTTCGCGCTACTTCAACTATCATGAAGGTCAAGAACTCTACCATTCAATTGTTGAAGAAGATAAGCCTAAACGTAAGCGTGGGCTGGTAAAATTAGGAGAAATTGGTCCTGCTAAAAAACTTTTGAAGAAGTCGGACTCAAAGTAGAGTAAAGAAATTGAACTAGATAAGCATGTAAAGATCCTTAGAAGTTAAGGTAATTACTCATAAAGCCAACCTAATTATATATTTTTTGTTCTTAATTTGAATTTGTTTGACCGTGTTCTACTATGTTTCAATGAGTTTGATTGTGATTTTATTATATTCTAATGTGTATTTGTAATGTGTTTGACCTTGTTATACCGTATTTTTTTACTGTGTTCTACCATGTTTGACTGTGTTCTAGTTTTAATTTATTTTATTTTACTATGTTGAGTTTGAAATAGTTTGATCTTGTTTTACCGTTTTTGACTATGTTCGACCATGTTTGACCATGTTTGAGTATTAATGCATGATTATAACACTTATTCATGATTTATTTTGTTCAGGTTCCATTCATATCTCCTATGGTTGATATTACACTCTTCCCTAACATGAAAATTACAATAGAAAGTTCATTAGGGAAACTTCAAGAAGAAATGAAGTGTTGATTAGGTGATCATCCCGACCTATTGAATCAATTTGGGTCCACTATATTTGAAAAGTACTTAGACATACAATATGTTCCTGCACCAATCCTTATGTGACCTTTATTTGATAGAATATCATGAATTGAGAGAACTTTTGCATTGTGGTTTGTGATGAAGGAAATTCATATTCATTACTCTCTTTAGAAGTTTGCTTTAATTAGTGGTTGAATTGCGCTAGCTTCTCTGGACAAAGATAATTCTGAGAAGCACCGTGAAACGGAAGTTCAAGCAAATTTTAAAAATGGAAAAAATTAACTTAAAAATGAAAGTGGAAAAACTTAAAATAGCAAGATTGCATATGTTAAAATTTGCTAAATATAAATTTATCTTAATGTTATCTCAAATTTATATTCACCTTTCTAATTAAGGATATTTTCAATTGGAATCAATGTTTTGATCTCATCTATGAAAGTAAAAGTTGTTTTTACTTTATCGTATATATATTAATACAAGGGAGGGAATTTGACTTTGGTTAAGGATGTTTTCTTTTGGACTGTTTTCAGTCCCAGACCAGACCAGACCAGACTTCCGTAGTTATAAAATACACAGAGACCAGACGTTTACCAGACCAAACCAGTTCAGACCAGACCAGACTTAAACAGACCAGACCAGACCAGACCAGACTTAAACAGACCAGACCAGACCAGACCAACAAATTTCAGTCCAAAAGAAAACATCCTAATTTATTCATAGCCTCCAAATTACTTTTATTTTTGAAAGGAAATTGTATATATTGATATCATTAGACTCAAGGCCGTACAAAATTTAGATTAGAGAGAGATGAACGGTCACTTATATCTCTACAAAAATTTGCTCTCTCCAATCTCTAGAATTATCAACGCTCCTATATATCCCCAATCTGGCATAACCCTTAGGAGGTGTTTACTTCACTGCTAAAGTCACAGTTAGGTTAGTAAGACAGGTGAAGTAAACACGCACACTGCTTAAAAAGCCGCTTACTAACCGAAAGAGGTGCTTAAAGTGCCGCTTATTAAGCATACCACCCCCCCCCATGTATTAATTAAGCGGCACTTTAAGCTTTTTCAGTTTCCGAATTTACCCCTTGCCCGTAACCTATTGTTATCCCTGCCCCACCTCGACCCCAACCCCACCTACCCGACCCCACCCTACCCTTACCCCACCTACCCTGACCCCACCCTACCTCGACCCCACCCTACCCTACCCCACCCCGACCCCACCCTACCCCACCCCTACCTACCTAACCGGTCCCCCACCCTACCCTTACCCCACCCCACCCCTACCCTTACCCCACCTACCCTACCCCACCCCGACCCCACCCTACCTACCCCACCCCTACCCTACCTAACTGACCCCCACCCTACCCCGACCCCACCCACCCTACCCCACCCCGACCCCACCCTACCTACCCCACCCCTACCCTAACTAACCGACCCCCACCCTACCCTTACCCCACCTACCCTGACCCCACCCTACTCCACCCTACCCCACCCTACCTACCCCACCCCTACCCTACCTAACCGACCCCGACCCTACCCCACCCCTACCCTTACCCCACCTACCCTACCCCACCCCACCCCACCCACCCCTACCCTTACCCCACCTACCCTACCCCACCCCACCTTACCCCTACCCCTACGGGCCTATGGGGGCCTATGGGGTCGGGGGTAGGGTAGGGTGGGGACAGGTTAGGGTGGGGTCGGGTAGGTAGGGTGGGGTCAGGTAGGTAGGGTAGGGGTAGGGGGTAGGGGTAGGCGGTGGGTGGGGTCGGGGTAAGGTAGGGTGGGTAAGGGGTTAGGGGTATGGGTACACATATTATATTATATACTTGTGTTCATGAATGTTTGTGTGTATATATATGTATAGGGTTATTTTGGACATTTTAATGTTAAGCGGTGTTTTAAACCGTTTGAAGTAAACACGGTCTTACAACATTGTTTATTTTATGCGCCGCTTATTAACACGGGTCTTAATAAGCACCGTTTAATAACCGGTGAAGTAAACATGTCCTTACTCGTCTCAGTCGTATCTCGTCCTCCGCCGCTATGGGGGAGCCCACCAGTTACCTAAATCTTGGGCATCGGTGGTTTCTAGTGCTACCAGAAAACAACCCAATGTTAAAGATGACCCTTCGCTTCAGATACTCGTCGGAAAACACAAAGGGTGTCTGTCGGTGAAGATTCCTAAGGCGAGATCTGATATCCTTGCTGGTGACCTTCAGTTTGCTCTGGTTGGAACCTTCCAGAAAGACCGACCATCTCTGTTGGCAATCCGTAAGGTTTTTGAAGCTATGAATTTCAAATCTTTACTCTAGTAAGGAGTAAAATATAATGGACATTAGAGAACATAAAATGGACGTTAGAGTTGGAGGCGGGGCTAGGCCGGGGGCCTGTATATATTTACACAAGAACCGTAGAGAGGGCTATATATGTATCTATGTAGTATATTTTTTGTCCACATAAGATCCATGGATGCATTCATAGATACATGATAGGAGAACGGTGCATAGATGTATCTATCTATAATCAATCCTATCCTATCTAATGAGGAGGTTGAATGAGTTGGGGAATTAGCTTGAGCAAAAAAGACAACTCTTTGGGGGAGAAGTTAGGCTTCTCCGCACGCACATTATTATGATGATGATCCAGCTGCTGCTTCAACATATCTGCCACTGCCTGCGATATTTCTCCCACAAAATCAACGATCACTCCGTCAATGCCCATGATGTGTTGCATATATACGGCTTCCACCACGTTGTTCAATGTGCCGTAGGTGAAGAGGGACAGGTTACACTCCTTGATATGGTTCACCAGCCCAGGATTCCTGAACACGCCCTTCACTTCACAAACAATCCCTTCCAGGCCCCCCTCCAGGCACAGCTTGACGGCCTCCTCCAGCGACTCCCTCCTGGGGTCGCTGTGCCCGCCAGCGGCGTTGGTGAGGAAGAACACCGGGTACATGCTCTGGAGTTGCTTTGCCATGAGGGCGGCATCGGGGTGGAACGTGGAGAAGAGGATGGGCCTGTCATTGGCGTGCTGGGACACAACCCGGAGCACGGCCCCCAGCACTCGCCTCAGCTGCTCTTGCGGGTACACCCTGTGCTCCTCGAATTTGAGCTCGATATTGAAGCCCAGCTTCGGGGGTTTCACCATTTCCAGTGCCTCTTGGAGAGTGCAGAGTGCGTCGTCCCTTTCCACCGACCACCTCGCTATCTTCCCGTCTTTTGTTTTTCTCAGCAGCGGCTTCAGTTTCCCTTCCTCCCCCTCTTTTCGAGGCCCGTAGCTCAGGAATTCTGCTAAGCTCAGCTCCGTGATTTTCTTCTCCACTACCCCATCCTGCTGGATCACATATCACCCAATTCCATCAACTCGTGTCTTAATTAAACAGCTTTTTCATTTGAAATCGATCAATTTCATCACAACCTTAATTAATAAGTTTTTAATAAGTTCTTGTGATGTTTCCAATTGTATCAATATTGCATATAAAAATTGAAAAAAATCCAATTTTTCTAAATGCCTGTTTTTAGCGGGATTTTTTTAATTGTACATACAAAAGATGGTAAAAAATTATATAAAACAACTGATATATTTTTTAAAAAAGAGTTGGACCACAAATTAATGAGTATATTTTAGTTAGACAAACTTCACTTTCCGAATAAATGATGTTAACTTTGATTGATTATATACTTATTTACATACAAGAGTATATTATAGAAAGTATAAAATTTTGAGTTAAAATAATTGATGAAAGGTTTAAGTTGTTGAATGGGAAAGTCAAAGAAAAAAGCTAGGGATTGAAATGGCATATTTGATTTCGAAAAAACTGGAGACGGTGAGATGATATAATGAAGTGAATAAACATGCAGTAACATAATAATAGGCCGGGGTGGGTTGCTCTTGCTTACTTACGTGATGTTGGGAAAGAATGAAATCGTCGTGAAAGATAACAGGGCAGTCGTCTTTTGTGACCTAAGAGAAACGCAGCGTGCAATTAAAAAGCCGCAGCAGCAGGAAGGAATTTGAATTTGATGGGCAACCCACGTACCTGGACGTCAAACTCGATGAAATCGGGGAAGAAATGAGCGGCGGCGTTGAAAGAGCGAATGGAGTTCTCCTTGAAGGCGTTGAGCCTCCGATCCGGCGACTGCACCACGTTCATCCCGTTCCCTCTGTGCCCAATCACTACAAATTTCGCCGCACCTGCAAACCCAAACCCAATTACTCCGTATATATATATATATATATATATATTGGATCATCCACGCACCGATCGAGAATGTCGTAGGTACGTACCTTGTGGGTATCGGCGGCGGCGGCGGCAGAGAGAGGCGTTCTCCGCTGCATTGGGATTGGGAATGTCGGCAGCCATTGCTAGCTTGGGAGAGAATTGAAGAAGCTAGCTTGGCCCGGGACACGCACAGCTAGGAACCGGGTACCCTATTTGTAGCACCCGCACGGAATATAAATTCCCTCGATGGATATTCCTCCCATATGCGCAGAATATTCCCTCGCTTCTCCTTGTTTCTTTTTAGGAGAACTCAAATGTCCATTCTTTCTTATTTCCATTTTATCTTCTCTACACTAAATGTCAATACTAAGAGCCTAAGGCTAACCGCAATCCACCCCCGTCAATAAATCTAATTCCCCTCCATTTTATACGTATTCACCCAATCAATTCAGTTTTTCTCTGCAACCCAACATCGTCAATATATTAACTCAGTACATATTTTTTAAGTTAAATTCACAAATCCTTACTTTATTTAATACACATCATTTATGTGGTAATTTTATTTTTACTAATAATTATGATTTTAAAAGTCAAACATTCTGATGTAAAAAAAATAAATTCAGAGTTTAATTTTTTTGTTACTTCAGATTTATTTTTGAAAAAATTAACTCAGACATGTAGATAAAAATATTCTTAAGAATATTCTTAAAAAATTTCTTACCATGAGACTATAATTTTAACACTTGGATTTGTTTAAGAAAAAAGTTGAACCTAAAAATATACAACTAATATTTAAAAAAAATTATATATATAATATTGGTGTCATATGAAAGAGAATAAAAAGTTATGAATTTTGATATATTTTTTGTAAAAATTAAAATATAAATTAATAAATTATAAAACTTCCAAATAAATTGGGGATTTTATTTAAAGTGGGCCCATGCATCAGCTTCCCTCAAACGCACCACAGCCATCCACTTCTCTCAAAGGGTGAGGGCCCAGCTAATTTCTGTCTTGCGCAGGGAGAGTCAATTGGCCGTCTACAAATAGCTCCCCACCGTTTTCTATATTGTGGATGAGACCCGCCCATACATTTTTTGCTCCGCGTTGCAGCTCTTTTGGGAGTGAAAAGCTTACATTTGGGTTTTCACTCTCCCCCGTTGCAATCAGCCTAATACCTTACATGATGCATTTTAAATTTTTGAAGTTCTTGTTCAAGTTGATGGATCGATTGATTCTGTTGATTCTTTAAAATATTATATATAAAATATATTTTATCAAGAAAAAATAGTTAAAATGATCATCTACATCAACTTCAGTCAAAACACAAGGTTTAGTGAAAAAGTTGGCTGATAAGCCGAAAACATGGTTACCAAACGGGCCTAAATCTCAAGAGAGCTCATAAAGTAATTCAATTTATGACACATTCTTCAAATTTAATAAAAACAATTTAATGATTTTGTTACATTTTAGTTTAAATTAGTTAAGGAATGGAAAATGTTAAAAACGAGCTGGTTTGACTCCCTCCGTGTTTAAAAGAATCCTACATTAAGTTTTGACACAATATTTAAGGGGGAAATAGTAGGTGTGATGAATAATGTAGAAAAAGTATGAGAGAATGTGAAAAGGTAGGAAAAAGAAGATACAAAGTAAAAAACTTAAGTGTAATTGGGTATATTTAAAAAAAAACTTACTAAAAATGAAAAGTGTAGCAACCTTTTAAATACATCTTAGGAAAGTGCAGCAAAGTTTTAAATACGGAGAGAGTATATGTGTTAACATTTGTAACATTTGAGTTCAACATATATTTTTATGGAGGAAAGAGTTCACCAATTTATATTAGAGTTCATTAGTGCATTGCCTACTTCAACTACTTTTAACGGAATAAACTACTAATACCATTTGTAGTGGCTAAAGATTAAAAATGGAACTTTTAGACTTCTAATTAGGTGTAGTGGTGGATTAAAAGGGGGTAAAAGTGGGAAGGGGAGTGGAGGAGTGTAAAAATAAAGGGTTGAATTGACAGGGCAAAAAACAATTGAAAAAGAAAAGAAAAGAAAGAGGCGGTCGGCTCCAAAGCGTTGCTATGGTTCAGCTGACATCATAATGACCTCACGCAGATGTCATCATAATCCCAAATTGTTTTAAACTCTTATAACTTTTTTATTTGTTCTCCAAAATTTTCAAAAAGTTTATCAAAATTCATGAATTTTTATGATCTTTCATATGACATCCATATGTGATATATAAAAAGATTTTTTTTTTAAGTTTTAATTGTTGGAGTTTTCTTGAGCTAAAAAAAACAAAACACAAATTTTTAATTCATGAAGCCTTCACAAATAATTTAATATTTCATAATCGAACTTTACTTAAACTAATTCATTTTGTTAACCGAAAAACTTTAAAAAAAATTAATAAAAATTACTTGTTTTTACATCGAAATGTGTATTTTTTTTATTTCATAACCATTCAAGGATAAAATTAAAAGTAAAACATTATTTATAATAATTTTTTACTAAATTGATATGTAAAAATATGCAGAGTGTATTTTATTGACGGTGCACGAATGCAGAGAAAAACAGTATTGACAGAGTCTAAACACTGTTTTCATATGAAAGGAGTCCAAATTTGACAATTTGGACTCTTGACCACTACAAATGGTCTAAAGACTACTTGTAAACAAATCGTCTCATATTTTTCAATTGAAATATGACAAATGTTAAACACATTTTAAAAATACACAATTGATTTTATAAATCATCTCATATTTTTTAAGTTTTTTCAATTTTTAATTAGTTTAAACTAAAACCTAACAAACCTTTAAGTCATTTTTTCTATGTTGTCCATTTATATTTGACGATATATCAGACGAACCATTCCAGCTTAACTAGTCGCCGACTCGCTCTCTCATATGGAAGGTCTTGGGTTCGAAACTTCATGGAGACAGTTTCGGTACCTCAGTCCTCTCTCTCTCGCCCCGTTGGGATAAAAAATGAATGTATCATAATTTCAATGCGAAAGCAAGTTGAAGTTCTTTCTTAACTCTATTGCAAGTTAATGTAATCTTTATCCCACTATTATACAATTTGGTATAATAAAAATATAACCATAATCAGTAAAGATGTGTAAATTGACTTCAATGTCGTAACCCTAATCAATCCATTCATCTCTATGCTCAACCTATCTGTGCTTCCTTCCACTCGGACGAAGATCGTTGTCTACCTCTTGCCGACTCATGTTGCACCGCCGGAGAAAGCCACAACTCGACGCCCCCATCAGCATGACGCATCCCCCCCAAATCTGCTATTGTCGCTCTTCTTCTCCCTTCTCATCTTCACCAACGCCTCCACCCGCTAGCATCACCTTCACGACGCCACACTATCATCGCCACTACTCTTAGCCATCTCCGACATCTCTATTCTTCTTCACCTCCTCTTCAACAAGACTGTCCACATTGTTGAATTCCCACACCGGAAACGTGTGAAGGAATTAAGTGCTATATTGAGATCTGGATTACTCCTCATATCAGGTTGACCTTTTAGGATGGAATCCCGGATCTTATCATACATCCCTTTTCTGATATTGAGGATGACGGAGACGGGCCTAATCAGGTCACTCACCGACGGCTAGGGTTATGGTGCGGCTCAACATGGTTGTGGTTACGAGTTGGGATGTGTCTAGGGCTGGACGACAACGCAATTGGGGATGACGTTGGGCTGGTGATGGGGGGTTGCGTAGCTAGTAGGGGCTATGGTATGTCAAAATATTCGCTTTTCCCCGTTATTTATTACATTACATGGTTGCGATCAGATGATGGGTAATCGTTTTCTGTGGTGGAAGTTGAACAAAGATAATTTGTGAGTTGAAAAGTCATTCCACAACCAACTAAACTAATTTTGTACATACACATTATTTAGCACCACACTCACATTAGTTTATGAAAGAATGGCAAAAATAAGACTCATGTTTTGGTTTAATTAATATAGGATCAATTTTCGTTTGGACAAAAAAAGGCAATAGAATGTGTAAACTGACCTAAATGTCCCTAACAAAATTCAATCCATTCGTCTGTATGCTCCACCTCTTTGTGCCTCCTTCTGCTTGGATGAAGATTGTCATCTACCTCTTGGCGACTCTTGTTGCACCGTCGAAGAAAGCCCCAGCTCATGCGGCGCCTCCATAGCATGACACATCCCCCAAATCTGCTACTGTCACTTCTTCTCCTTTATTCATCTTTGGCAACACATCCACCGCTAGCATCATTGTCGTGTTGTCTCCTCCTCCAGCACCACCACCTCTTCTTTTTCACCTCTTCTTTCCTCCTCCTCCTTCACCTCTTCTTCTACCCAACTATCCACAGCCCTCGTCCGATTTCGAGGATGACGTAGATGGACCTAGTTGGGTCGCTCGTCGACAACTGGGGTTATGGAGCAGCTCGGTGCGGTTGGGATTGCGAGTTGGGATGCGCCAAGCTAGGGTTGGCGACGACGCGATTGGGGACGATGTCGGATTGGTGATGGGAGTGAACTGCAATATGGCAGAGGGAGGGGAGATGTAGGGGGCGAGTGCATGGGAAGGGGACGAAGGGAGGGGTTGCGGATGGGGCAGGGGAGCTGGAGGGGGCTAGGGTAGTAAGTAGTGTCCTTGGGGCGACTGTCGGTGGGGTGGGTTGAGGTATCGACGATGGCATGGCGGCAGTGTCACTTGGCATAGACAGTTGAACATGGGTCACTGCGCGGTTGTAACTGTAACTGCTTGACGATGGTAAATGCATTTGACCGGTGTTTGGTCACTATCCGGGCTATCAAACTAGTGATGATCACTGTGAGTGGTGGTCACTAAGTGGCAGCGGTCATTGACTTAAAATGGGTTACTCTGGCGTAGGAGTAGTTGTCATCGTGATCGAGGATGACGTTGACCACAATGACAGGCTGTGGTCAATGCTCAAGGTGATCACTCACATATTTTTTAATCATTGTGACATTACTTAGCACTGATGAGGTTAGATTATATTAGTAAGGTTGTTTTAGTTTCTTAGCCTATCTTTAGTCCCAAATTTTGGAAACTCAAACAAATTATATCATTTTTATCCATAACTCATTTTCAAATACTTCGTAATATTTATAAAAAAAAATCCTTGGTTTATTGTTTGTGATTTTGGATTCTTGTATATACAATTTGCG